CTTGGTGAGAATAACTTTGTGAATAATGTGGGGCAAGATGGTTGTTTTGTCGAAAGAACACTAATTTTAAGACTATTTATCCACGAGAGGATGGACCAACATGCAAACTATAAAGCTCATCACTGCGAACCGCTGTTGTGCCCCTCTGCTTAAAACTAAGTGCAATTTTTTTGCTATTTTCCTGGGCTGTGTAATGTTGCCTCAACCTCAAGCAACTAGCGCTTGGTGAGAATAACTTTGTGAATAATGTGGGGCAAGAGGGTTGTTTTATCGAAAGAACAATACTATTAAGACTATTTATCCACGAGAGGACGGACCAACATGCAAACTATAAAGCTCATGACTGCGAACCGCTGTTGTGCCCCTCTGCTTAAAACTAAATGCAATTTTTTTGCTATTTTCCTGGGCTGTGTAATGTTGCCTCAACCTCAAGCAACAAGCGCTTGGTGAGAATATTTTTGTGAATAATGTGGGCCAAGATGGTTGTTTTGTCGAAAGAACAATACTATTAAGAATATTTATCCACGAGAGGACGGACCAACATGCAAACTATAAAGCTCATCACTGCGAACCGCTGTTGTGCTCCTCTGCTTAAAACTAAATGCAATTTTTTTGCTATTTTCCTGGGCTGCGTAATGTTGCCTCAACCTCAAGCAACAAGCGCTTGGTGAGAATAACTTTGTGAATAATGTGGGGCAAGATGGTTGTTTTGTCGAAAGAACAATACTATTAAGACTATTTATCCACGAGAGGACGGACCAACATGCAAACTATAAAGCTCATGACTGCGAACCGCTGTTGTGCCCCTCTGCTTAAAACTAAATGCAATTTTTTTGCTATTTTCCTGGGCTGTGTAATGTTGCCTCAACCTCAAGCAACTAGCGCTTGGTGAGAATAACTTTGTGAATAATGTGGGGCAAGAGGGTTGTTTTATCGAAAGAACAATACTATTAAGACTATTTATCCACGAGAGGACGGACCAACATGCAAACTATAAAGCTCATGACTGCGAACCGCTGTTGTGCCCCTCTGCTTAAAACTAAATGCAATTTTTTTGCTATTTTCCTGGGCTGCGTAATGTTGCCTCAACCTCAAGCAACAAGCGCTTGGTGAGAATAACTTTGTGAATAATGTGGGGCAAGATGGTTGTTTTGTCGAAAGAACAATACTATTAAGAATATTTATCCACGAGAGGACGGACCAACATGCAAACTATAAAGCTCATCACTGCGAACCGCTGTTGTGCTCCTCTGCTTAAAACTAAATGCAATTTTTTTGCTATTTTCCTGGGCTGCGTAATGTTGCCTCAACCTCAAGCAACAAGCACTTGGTGAGAACAACTTTGTGAATAATGTGGGGCAAGATGGTTGTTTTGTCGAAAGAACAATACTATTAAGAATATTTATCCACGAGAGGACGGACCAACATGCAAACTATAAAGCTCATCATTGCGAACCGCTGTTGTGCTCCTCTGCTTAAAACTAAATGCAATTTTTTTGCTATTTTCCTGGGCTGCGTAATGTTGCCTCAACCTCAAGCAACATGCGCTTCGTGAGAATAACTTTGTGAATAATGTGGGGCAAGATGGTTGTTTTGTCGAAAGAACAATACTATTAAGACTATTTATCCACGAGAGGACGGACCAACTTGCAAACTATAAAGCTCATCACTGCGAACCGCTGTTGTGCCCCTCTGCTTAAAACTAAATGCAATTTTTTTGCTATTTTCCTGGGCTGTGTAATGTTGCCTCAACCTCAAGCAACAAGCGCTTGGTGAGAATAACTTTGTGAATAATGTGGGGCAAGATGGTTGTTTTGTCGAAAGAACAATACTATTAAGACTATTTATCCACGAGGGGCCGGACCAACATGAAACTATAAAGCTCATCACTGCGAACCGCTGTTGTGCCCCTCTGCTTAAAACTAAATGCAATTTTTTTGCTATTTTCCTGGGCTGTGTAATGTTGCCTCAACCTGAAGCAACAAGCGCTTGGTGAGAATAACTTTGTGAATAATGTGGGGCAAGATGGTTGTTTTGTCGAAAGAACAATACTATTAAGACTATTTATCCACGAGAGGACGGACCAACATGCAAACTATAAAGCTCATCACTGCGAACCGCTGTTGTGCCCCTCTGCTTAAAACTAAATGCACTTTTTTTGCTATTTTCCTGGGCTGTGTAATGTTGCCTCAACCTCAAGCAACAAGCGCTTGGTGAGAATAACTTTGTGGATAATGTGGGGCAAGATGGTTGTTTTGTCGAAAGAACAATACTATTAAGACTATTTATCCACGAGGGGCCGGACCAACATGAAACTATAAAGCTCATCACTGCGAACCGCTGTTGTGCCCCTCTGCTTAAAACTAAATGCAATTTTTTTGCTATTTTCCTGGGCTGTGTAATGTTGCCTCAACCTCAAGCAACAAGCGCTTGGTGAGAATAACTTTGTGAATAATGTGGGGCAAGATGGTTGTTTTGTCGAAAGAACAATACTATTAAGACTATTTATCCCCGAGAGGACGGACCAACATGCAAACTATAAAGCTCATCACTGCGAACCGCTGTTGTGCCCCTCTGCTTAAAACTAAATGGAATTTTTTTGCTATTTTCCTGGGCTGTGTAATGTTGCCTCAACCTCAAGCAACAAGCGCTTGGTGAGAATAACTTTGTGAATGATGTGGGGCAAGATGGTTGTTTTGTCGAAAGAACACTACTTTTAAGACTATTTATCCACGAGAGGACGGACCAACATGCAAACTATAAAGCTCATCACTGCGAACCGCTGTTGTGCTCCTCTGCTTAAAACTAAATGCAATTTTTTTGCTATTTTCCTGGGCTGCGTAATGTTGCCTCAACCTCAAGCAACATGCGCTTCGTGAGAATAACTTTGTGAATAATGTGGGGCAAGATGGTTGTTTTGTCGAAAGAACAATACTATTAAGACTATTTATCCACGAGAGGACGGACCAACTTGCAAACTATAAAGCTCATCACTGCGAACCGCTGTTGTGCCCCTCTGCTTAAAACTAAATGCAATTTTTTTGCTATTTTCCTGGGCTGTGTAATGTTGCCTCAACCTCAAGCAACAAGCGCTTGGTGAGAATAACTTTGTGAATAATGTGGGGCAAGATGGTTGTTTTGTCGAAAGAACAATACTATTAAGACTATTTATCCACGAGGGGCCGGACCAACATGAAACTATAAAGCTCATCACTGCGAACCGCTGTTGTGCCCCTCTGCTTAAAACTAAATGCAATTTTTTTGCTATTTTCCTGGGCTGTGTAATGTTGCCTCAACCTGAAGCAACAAGCGCTTGGTGAGAATAACTTTGTGAATAATGTGGGGCAAGATGGTTGTTTTGTCGAAAGAACAATACTATTAAGACTATTTATCCACGAGAGGACGGACCAACATGCAAACTATAAAGCTCATCACTGCGAACCGCTGTTGTGCCCCTCTGCTTAAAACTAAATGCACTTTTTTTGCTATTTTCCTGGGCTGTGTAATGTTGCCTCAACCTCAAGCAACAAGCGCTTGGTGAGAATAACTTTGTGGATAATGTGGGGCAAGATGGTTGTTTTGTCGAAAGAACAATACTATTAAGTTTATTTATCCATGAGAGGACGGACCAACATGCAAAGTATAAAGCTCATCACTGCGAATCGCTGTTGTGCCCCTCTGCTTAAAACTAAATGCAATTTTTTTGCTATTTTCCTGGGCTGTGTAATGTTGCCTCAACCTCAAGCAACAAGCGCTTGGTGAGAATAACTTTGTGAATAATGTGGGGCAAGATGGTTGTTTTGTCGAAAGAACAATACTATTAAGACTATTTATCCCCGAGAGGACGGACCAACATGCAAACTATAAAGCTCATCACTGCGAACCGCTGTTGTGCCCCTCTGCTTAAAACTAAATGGAATTTTTTTGCTATTTTCCTGGGCTGTGTAATGTTGCCTCAACCTCAAGCAACAAGCGCTTGGTGAGAATAACTTTGTGAATGATGTGGGGCAAGATGGTTGTTTTGTCGAAAGAACACTACTTTTAAGACTATTTATCCACGAGAGGATGGACCAACATGCAAACTATAAAGCTCATCACTGCGAACCGCTGTTGTTCCCCTCTGCTTAAAACTAAATGCAATTTTTTTGCTATTTTCCTGGGCTGTGTAATGTTGCCTCAACCTCAAGCAACAAGCGCTTGGTGAGAATAACTTTGTGAATAATGTGGGGCAAGATGGTTGTTTTGTCGAAAGAACATTACTATTAAGACTATTTATCCACGAGAGGACGGACCAACATGCAAACAATAAAGCTCATCACTGCGAACCGCTGTTGTGCCCCTCTGCTTAAAACTAAATGCAATTTTTTTGCTATTTTCCTGGGCTGTGTAATGTTGCCTCAACCTCAAGCAACAAGCGCTTGGTGAGAATAACTTTGTGAATAATGTGGGGCAAGATGGTTGTTTTGTCGAAAGAACAATACTATTAAGACTATTTATCCACGAGAGGACGGACCAACATGCAAATTATAAAGCTCATCACTGCGAACCGCTGTATTGAGTTGATTGTATAAATGCAAAAGTCCAGAGAGCACTAATTGGTGATTGATTATTAATACAATCATTAAACATTTTTACGCAGACTTGAAGATGGTCAATTACTTTCAAGAGCTCTTTTGGGCAATTTTTGGGGCTGGGTGAAACTCTGTAGGTTATTTGAAATTAATTTGAATATCATTCTGTATTTGCAGGCATTTTGGCCTAATTACAAGTCGACTTAAAGATGTGAACAAAACAGTTTGAGATGGTACTGAAAGTTGATTGGCTAATTCTAGCCAATCAGATTGAAGCAAACCAGTATCAGTTAAAAACGTTGAATAATTGATATTGGGCGGAAAAAAGATCATTGAACTATTTTCAAGAATTATTCAGTTCATTTTCATTTTTGGTTTGTGATAAATTTTGTTTTTTTTTTTTGTAAATTAAAAGTTCGTCCCCTGTAGGTACGAAGGAGAAAAAGAGGAGTGCGGCCATTGCAGATCGAAGGAAGAAACAGCAGGAGTACCTGACTGCTCTGAACCAAGTGAAGGACAACAGTCTCCTTCAGGATCTAGACGTGTACATTCTCTCTAATGCACTAGAGATGCAATTTGGCCCTCTCTCAGAGTTTGAAACACGGTAGGTTTGCAGGCAGTAGGCAGGTGGGGGGGGGGGGGGGGGGGGGGTTGGCGTAAGTGTGTGTGCAGGGAGGGGTTCTAGTGTCAATGCGGTTTGTTCCTGTGGCACAAACAACCGAATGGCAGTCAAACGATTCAAGAGTGATGAGAAACTTTCTCTAATTGTAATAGTAAAACTATCCAACTTTCACGCAGTGACAAATTTGATAAAAATCGATTATCTATGGAAATTATACAGATTTCAGATCTGTTGTAACTTTATATAGCAAAATTTCGATTATGAAGTTTTAAAAATCGACTATAATGCATTTTTTTGCAAAAGTTTTGTTCTGTATATCTTCAATAATCATTGACAAAACAATCTAAAATTATACACATTACATATTGATTTTCTCAAAACTCTCGTCAATCAGCTAAAATGAGTATATTGAAAAAAAATATTTATAATGTAGGCATTTTATTGAAACTTTTGTGCTGATGTTTGATCTGAAAAATGAAGTAAATTTCTGATTGTGTGAATAAGTTGCAGCTAAAAATAGTTTGCTCTATGTTAGTTTTTCTTTTTTTTGATGTTTTCTTACAAAATTGCGCAGAACAAGTTGATCTTTTACATAGCAATTGAAAAAGTTTTGCATCAAATTACTTGTCATACCGCAGAATAATAGATTTAAAAAATTTGGAGGTAGTTCTTGAAACTTGTAGTTTGCAGCAACCAACTTTCTTCGAGTGAGTACAGCTCACTATAAAACTGAGGGAAGTTTTTCCTGATAGCAATTTTTTGTTGAATTTGTCAATAAAAACTTTAGTTTAAATTTTCAATGGTCAAAATTGAAAATGGTACGACCACCATAGTTTTTAGGTAATAGAATCAATTTGATACAGATTTTAAAAAGATTATATGCAGATTATCTCTAGATTATCTACATAAAATCTACATGTCTTATTGCATGAAGATTATATACTGACTATATGCACATTATCTACAGATTATATACAGATTTTACACAAAAAAGAAATCCATTATTTTGGCACTAAAATCCAATTATTTTTTGATTGAAAAAAAATATATATTCTTCCGTACAGAATCGATTGTTGTTCTCAAAACAATTGTAGTAATATAGATTATATATCTACTTTAATCTCTAGATTTTTCTGAATATAATAGATTTTTATCCATTTTTCATCCCCATAAAACTATCCAACAACGCTAGAAAAAATTTTGTCAGAAAAAATTATTGACAGAAAGTTAATCACATTCGTAATTAGACTTAATGGATTGACCATTAGTATTTTAGTGCAAATTTTATTCAAAGATTTTTTGACTATTACAAAATAATTAATGTTTAAATGACTTATGATAGATTTTGATGACAGATTGTTAATATTTATCAGCTTCCTCTCTAATCTATCAATGATGTCTTTTAATTCCGTTATGATTTTTGTGTGATTCATATCTAGCCCGCATCGAAGTTTCATGGATAAAAAATGATTAAAATGGATTTTTGTTGACTAAAAAGTTGTCTATATAATCGATTGTCATGACAAATGTACGCAACCTAATGGATTTTATTCCATTTTAATCGATTATTTTGCAAAAAAAAGTCCATGAAAATCCATTCTAATCGAATATAATCCATTTTATCCATTATATAATCCATAATCCATTTTATTACAATGGAATTTTTTTGTAAAATCCTTGAAAATTGATTAAATTTTGTTACTATTGACTATACTTTTTGCAATTTTCTGCAAAGCTCGAACGAACATGTTCATCCAGGGGCGGACAATTTGTAGTTGTAGTAATTTTGAAGAGGCAATATGTAGTAATTTTCCAAAAAAAATGCCCAAAAACGGCATTTTTACCAGTTTTTTTTTCTTCAAAGCAATTGCCTGCAGCGCTAAGAATTTGGTCGAAAAACATTCTTTTTAGTGTAGTGGGAGTGCTGAGAAAAGAAACTTGACCGACTTGATAAAAATCGACTAAATTTTTGATTTGTTTTTAAAACCGCCCCGGGGATTTTAATACGTGATTTTTCTATAAATTTCTATAAAAGCGATTGAAATAAGGAAAAAAAACGGAAGTTTCGCGAGAAAACAAAATAGTTAACTTAAGTTTAACATTATTATGAAAAAATGAAAACAGCACAACGAAAGATTTTCTTATCAAATGGATTATAATCAGTTAATTTCGATTAAATTGGGATTTTATTGCTTTAAAAATTCTATCAATGTAATCCATTTTCAATCGATTATAATCATTTTTTTTGTTATTTTATAGAGACTGGCAATTAAAATTCAATATAATCGATTATTATTCATGAAATTTCAGTGCGGGAGGGAATCGTTCAAGGGAAGTCCATATGAAAAAAAAAACGAATCACAAAAGCTAAGATAGCAGCCAATCAAGATAGTTTTTATTTTATTTTTTTTCAATTTGAAAGAAAGTCTGTCGGTATTTTAAATGTAAACTGGCTTCTTTGAAAAGAAAATTTCTGAGAAGTCCTAGAAATATATGTACTTTCTTCGTGTTTTAACGCTATTTGTGCGACTTAAAAAAATTTTTGTAACCCTGCTTTTTTTACAAACATGACGCATGAGTTAATTTACAACTAAAGTTCGTTTTCAGGCCTAAAATTGCTGTAAACTTGGCTGAAGATTATCGAAAAAAAATTAAGTGTCGTCTAAGAAATCCCGGAGAAATAAAAGTCAGAATTTGTAGTCAGAAAACACTTTTTTTTACTGTTTATTTTGTTTCAGCTCGATGTCACCTCTCGCTGCTCTTCTATCCGAACACCAAAGCAACCAACAACAACTCGGAATAGTTTCCGACAACAACAAACGCAAAGATCTACTCAAGAGAGTATCAGTAGCGTCTGCTATGCAACCACCACCGGCAGAACTGACCCCACCTAAACCCTACATTACAGCCAGTAGAATCGAACTGTTTAGTCGTGTTTTCTTCCCGAGCTCGTTTTTCACAGTGTTCACGACTTACTGGTTGTACTATTATGTATATAAATCAAACACACATATAATACCGAGTGATGCTGTTTGATTTCCATTATAAGTTACACCAAACTTTGAAAATTTTAATTTACCTCAAACACAGCAAAAATTTTGAAATCCTTTTGCCGTCTTGTAAGAAAAGCATGACTTTTATGAAGGAAAAAGAAGGAAAATTGTTACAAAAAAAATGAAGCAGAAAACATATTCGGGTTTCTGTGATGTTTTTTTTGTGAAATCAGGGCTTAAAAAACGCTCGCAATATCGGAGAGATTGGGTGTATAGTTGTAGCACGTTTCATATATAGATAGTGTCTCTAAAATTATTCACAAAATTTTTGATTCGATAATTTATGTTTTCAAGTTTTGTTCGTTTTTAAGCAAATAATGCAGTAATTTTAAGCAGGCTGAAGAAGCAAAGTTTTTTCTCCCTCAAACGACCTCAAATGATCCGAACAGATCAGAAGCAAGAGATAAACGGAAAAAATTGAACCAACATTAAACTTGAAAAACGACCCATCTTATACATTTCCCAGAACGAAAAAATTGAAGTAATTAACTTTCTGGAAGATGTTTTATTTTGGCTGAATCGCAGGACCTTAGATGTGATTAGAGAATTCTATCAAAACTGGTTTAAAGGTTTCATTTATAATGCTTGAAATTTTTTTATGCAATTGAACGCTATATAAATTGAAAAAACGATTTTTTTGTCAGGGTCTATTGTTTTTGATTATACACAACAACGAATATAAATCTAGAAATATAGCATTCTCTCAAATATTCTTTTCATTTTGATGTCAAATTTAAGGTTTTTCTCGATTACCCTAGACTTAAAAGTATCTTGTATTGATATCGCAAAAAAATTTTCTGCAGGAAAATTGCCATGAGGATGATCAAAGAGTATCGTCAGTGTTACCTGAAAACTAACAAAAAATATATAGTTCACTTGTTTAATATAAAATGTTTGGCGAGTAGAAACAAACTTGGTTTTGTTTAATTACCCGCGAGAGAAAGAAAAAAGTTTTACCGCTAAAAATTTTGTCAAGTGTTTTACCTGATCTTTTTTTGAATTTTTCCGTTTCTGGTTATAGAAAAAACAATCTTTTTTAACAATTTTTTTTAACTTGTGAATTCAGAATTTTTTAATGAATCAAACTGGTTAGCCCTATATGATCTAAGTGATGAAAACAAACCGGAAACAAAATTTACAAAAATATCACCAAATTGTTCTAAGAAGATTAATCCTAGCCAAACATTCGGTAATAGTGCTCCGATAAACTTAGCGAAAGTCCAAACTAACAATCTTGATCAAACTTATCTCACGAGAACTTATTATCACTGCTGCTCTATTGTTTCATTAGATTTTTATTCAGTAGTCAAATTCTTTCTATCGTCTATTCTAATTACTTCTCATTTTAAATTGATTTTGAAATTTATCTTTTTTATGTCACTTTGAGCCTTGCATTGATAAAAAATATTTTGTTATTGAGTCTGTTTTTTACCGTTGTTTATATAAAGACCAATATCTGCAATACATAATGTTTATTGTATCGCATTAAAGCGTCGAAGGTTCCGACTGTCTGTTGAAGTTTCCCAAAAAGTAATTATTGAAGCGTTTTGTTTTTATTTTGATTAGGTTTGAAAAAAAATGAAAGTTTAGTTTTAGAGAAATGAAGGTTTGACAAAATTTTCAAGGAAGAAAAAAACGAAAACCCAAATACTAAAAAGTGCCCCCACGTTCCTTTAAAACATTTAACTCTTTTTAGAGTCTTGCCATCTTTTAATAATTCCAATAAGCTTGACTCATTTCAAGTTGCAATAAAATTTGAGGCGATTTAAATCAGCGCTTACACGTTAAAAAATTGTAAGTTGTCACGCGTGATTTTGAAAACTTCAAAACGATCATTGTTTTGTGATATTTGCTTTTTTTGCTGAACAAGATTGGAGTTTAACAAAGAAACTGAATTGAACTTTAAAAAAATAAAAGTGAAACCGCAAAAAATCTTGAGCGTTAAAATTTTTGGAAACTTACTTCCAAAAAAATGAAAACCATCACGACTCTTGCAGGAGTTGTCACCAACTTCGCTGACAATTAAAACTTAAAGCTGGAAAAAATAGACCATCGAGCATAAAAATTTTTCCTATTGGAAATTCATTATTACAAAATTGCTTGTTCCAGAGCATCCTTTTGCGCATTTTAATTATCAGTAACAAATCATTAAATTAGTTTAGGGTTCAAAAATTGTCGCTGTTTGTTTGGGTGTTTTCACATGAAAACTTAAACGAAAAAGCTTTGTGGAATTTTGCCGTTTTAAACAAAAACTTTTTTTTTAATTCTTTAAAACAAAGCTTTTGAAGAAACGAACACAATTGATTTGCTTGAATTATCACTCGAACCCAAACACTTTAATTGTTGCTACATACCAATGCAGAACAAACACAAGTTGAGTTTCTTTAAATATACAGGCTGTAGTGCAAGAGAAATTTCGTTGTTCGGTTTTTGAAAGCAAGGCTGAAAACTTGTTCTAGAAAAAAAAATAGATAAACAGCTTCAGTTAAACATGTTTAGTAATAACAGTCAAACTCATTGAATATTTAAAATCTAAATTAAAATTAATAGACTCGTTTGATAAAAACGTAATCTACAACAAAGAATTTTTTTGACTGCATTTTTTGTGTGAACAATGGACAATAAATTTCACGGCACATTTTCATATAAAATTGTACAAAAAAGTGATGTTTTATTTCAAATTTGTTACCTAGACTGGTCACGACATCAAAAAAGATATGTAGTAATTTCAGTTGAGATGTTTTGTATATTATCAGAATCGAACAAAATTTCAAAACTCAGTTTAAAATATGAGCGATAGTAACAGTCAAAAATCCAATAACAATTATCATAATTAATTTCAATTTTTTTGTGCTGAATTCATGCAGATGACGATGCTGTATTCATCTTGAAAGGAACTACCTAAAACATATTAGTCATTCCGTATTTTTTAAAGCAACTCAAAAATTTGCCTTTTTCAGAATTGTTGCGTACGATACTAAAGAAAAAATGTAAAAATCATTTAAAGATCTAAATAAGATAAAATCTGAAGAAAAACCAAGTCTATGAAATAATCAAAAAGATCACAAAACAATAATAATCACAGAAACAGTACTGATTATCATAATACTCGTTCTGATAATCAGAAACGGTGATATATTAATTATTTCTGCTTGGTTTTGGTTCTGAGTTAGAACGAATTGGGGTAGCTGGCTGATTGACAACCTAATTTTCCATGTGTAAATTAATCGTAATTGAAAGAAACTACAAGTCAATAAAGAATAACGAACTGACAAAAGTTTCGGTATCTAAAGGCAGAAATCAATGTGATAAATAACGCATAAAGAAAAATTATCAAATCGTTTCCACATAGCGCAAACTTTGTTTCGATCTTTCAGTTTAGAAAACCATTAGTTACGGCTTTGATTTTTCTCCCTATGATTTCTAGCGAGAACATTCATCGAATGAAAAGGTAGCTATTTCAGGTTATATAGCTAGATTGATTTTTGTTATTCCTCGAATAGTTTGTTCAATTTATTTCAAAGTCAAGCTATTAGGTAAAAAGAGCGTAAGTTTGAAACTTTGACTAGCAGTTCATCTGACGGATTGATTCAGTTACAAAAAAGTCTTTCCAGCATAATCAATTGACTGAATATAAAATCATAATTTTTTGAATTATAGCTTTCAGGTTTAATACATGCAAAACTTTAATAGTTCTCAAAATTAACGCATACAGAAGTATTGCTTTTATTGAAATATTAATCAAAGGTGCAATTTTGTATGCAAAAATAACTTCGAAATGCATAATTGCGCTTAGAAATTTTTTTTCGACAAGAAAAAAAACATTTTTTTGCCCAATTTGTATTTTTCCTGGAAAGAAATGTTAGTCTCTAAAATGATTTTTTTACCATTATAGATTTTGTATCAACTATTAACATCTTCGTAATTAAAAGAGCAACTTTTTTTTGTTTTAAAAGAAAATACAAATTTCAAAAAAAAAGCTACATCTCTTTTAGTGTAAGACCAGCTTAGTTTTCGTGGTCTCCAGATTTGAGTTTTTAACTAGCATTTTCCTTGTGTGGATGTGGACCCGGGCTCTCTTTGTTTAAGTCTCTGAATTTTTCTTTCAAACTTATCTAATTAGATTTTTTTTCAGAAGAAACCGCGAAGTTTGTAAAAAAAACTTAAAAAATTTTTCTACGTAAAATTGAGAGTATTCAGCACTCGAGGTGCTCCCAATTACCACAACGGATGCTTGATTTGTAAGTACTTTAATCCTCGTCTTTTTAGAAAAAAGTTTCAGAAAGCTTAAATGTGATTTCTTTGTTTTTGTGGGAATGGAGGTGAATGGAATCCCACAAATATCATCAATTGGACTGGGTCTGGTATTAAAGCACGTCTCTGTCCTACTCAAATTGTTAGAGAGTTATGGAGAACATAAAAAATATGTGAAAAGGCCAGAACTCATGCTTCTTTTCGCTGGCTATTTGTTGAACGATCGTATGCTTAGCTAGGTGTGTGATTTAAGTTGGCTGTCACGCTTCCGCATTCTGGAGTGTAGTGTTTGAAGACAAGAAATTCCCTTAGATGGCCCTCTGAGCAACATGAAAACAATTTGTGAGCACAGCTGACAAGAATTGAGGCAACGAGCCACATTTTTTATCGCTTCATCTAGCACTCCTGATTGCAAGTTTGTTTTTTTCAACAAAAACCCCAATTGGAAATAACTACTTTCTGAAGCGGAAGGACCCATATTGAAGTTTTGACGCCAATCTAGTGTTTCAAATTATCTTCACAAACGTCTTCCCCGTTTTCAGCCGATTGATACAAAAAATAAACAAAACAGAACACGGAGCCAATTTTCCGTAGTGTTGGTACTTTGCCGGACCCCAACTTTGCCGGGATTCGAAGCCATCAGCAGCAAATGCTTTTTTGGACAGTTAGTATTGACATCTTGACTTCTGTCATCCGGTACGGATAGATAAACTCAGCATCCTTGATGCACATTTGTTTGGTTAACGTAATTATATATTGTTTGGTCAGTTGACCTTGTACGGCTGTACGCCGAAGTGAGAATTTGAGCAATAGCTCATACGCTAATTTATGTTTCGTATGAACAGTTGTTTTATCGAACTGGCATCAAAAATTCCGTTTACCAATCCGTTCCGTTCGGATTCGGTATACTCACGTCCATACCTAGAGGTATGACATGGCGCATTCAGCAGGATTTTTGAAAAACCCACTGAACGTCAACCCAATTTGGGAGAAATCATCAGCCGAATCAACACTGGAGTGGTCGAAATGGGCAGCAAAATTCGAAATAGTATTATTTGCGAAGGACGGAATTCAGGTAAGAAACCTACAACGAAACAAACCACCGCTAGTCGAGCCTACAGAACCGATCTATGAAATCGAGATAACTGGAGAAACGGAAGCACAACAGAAAAACCGGGAGAATAGAA